AGTTAGTCAGACGTGACCCCACCCAGCAGTAAACTCAAATTTCATCGATTACTTTGGTTACTCTCCCAGCAAAAAATACACCTTCCCCTTCATACGTCTTGCATACACTCGGGCAAGAAATAAAAAAGCGTGTTTCTTCTTTTCATTTTGCTCTCAATACTTTTTCTTTCAGGTGGGGAGTGGTATTTCAGGTGAGGTTACAGACCAAAGGACCAGTTTCTCATCATTGTCAGAGAACAGAGGCTGCAGGGATTTTTCACCAGTTGTGTTCAGCAGAGACAAGAAGAAAAGCAGGGCAGCGCCATAAACCCTTCCATGCCCCCCTCCAAGTTCTGCTGCAGTTTCAAAAAGGCCAAGTTTCGGCTGGGCTGAGCAGAGCAGCCCCTGGCAGCAAAGCAGAGGCTCTGGCTGCCTGCAGGCACAGCCCCAAGCCATGGATGTGGCATCTGCTGCACTTGAAATGTTTCTGAAGCTTGGAGTTGGAAAAAGAAAGAAAATACATACTTTTTAAAGAACTCCCCTCTAAACTAAGTCTCATTTTAGGAAGTGTGTGGGTTTGGGGTTTTGTTTTTAATCATTAAACAAACAATTCTGTAGGGAGCAGCATGTCAGAGGGCTCTTTTTAGGAAAGCAGCCTGGGACAGAGTGGGAAAGCTGCAGGGAGCACTTACAGACAGAGCGAGTGACCGGGAGATACAGGCTAGGGGAATCTGCTTACCCAGCTTGTGTGCGGAGGACCCAGTGCCTTTTAATTCTCTGTTTGTAATTAGAGGTGGAAAAATAAAAGTAAAGGCATTTAGACATTTAATTATCTAACTGTTCCTCTGGATTAGGCAGGCAATGTGCACCGTGATGTCCTCAGTGCTCCTGCAGATGGGAGCTGCAAATCCACGCTCGCATCTGATTACGGGTTCAAATCTGTGGGTGCAGAATTAAAGGCTGGATTCCAACCAATTTTTAAAAGCTGCCTTTCAAGTGGGGAAAGCTGCCCCTGATTTATCTGGGCTGTAAGCTTGCCCAGCATCATTGGCAGGTAACGAGGACCTCAAGCCTGGTATTTGGGGCTAGAGAGAGAGTCAAGGGTACTTTTCCACGTAAAGTGTGTTGGGGAAAGGAATGCCTTGAATTTTGATGATATTGGCCTGGTTCTCAGCTCCTCGGTGGTACGGCAGAGCAGCGCTACTGCATTCCACTTGCCGTGCTGAGGAGCAAGTACGAGCCACGAGTGAGCAGTAAAGGCAAGCGATTAAACAGCAGGGCTGCATTCCTCGTCCCTCCCGCAGAAGGATGGAGAGCGATGCAGCAAATAACAGGAGGGTTGCAGCAGTCCTAGGCAGAAGCTGAGATGTTTAAAAATCTCTTTTCATTTCTCCTTTGGCAGCCCCCCACAAAAGCTGTTTGCATCGCACCAGGTGACCTCTGCAGGCCCATCACCACAGCGGATATTTTCAGTGGTGTGCCTCTTCCAAAGCTGGACCGTGACAATACCCAACAAATCTCTCACCATTTCAGCCACACGTCCTAATCCTTGTTTTGAGCTCTGTGCGGTTAGGAGCAGAAAGTGGGGCTGGTTTTGCACAACTTTCTGGGAAAGCCGGGCAGAGCTGAGAGCTGGCACAGGAGACACAGCTTCTGGGCAGAAAGCTGCAAGGAGCCTCGCTCAGGGGTGTGCAGAGCTCAGTCTTTCCATTCAGAGCTCCAGGCCTGAACGCAAGTCTCGAATGTTGTCTTGCCATGCACTGAGCCACATGTTTGTTATCCTGGGGGGAAACGGCAACAGAGGCACTGGGATGATAAAAGTGCCTCCAACCCAGCCGTGTAGACACTGTCTCATCCACGTAGATGGAGCCGGAGGAAGGTAGGAGCTCTCTGATCAGCCCTGAGACTGCATTCCAGGTTTTTAAGCGTGGGGAAGACCCAGAGGGAAAGTCTGTCCCAGCGCCACATAATTTCCTCATGACTCTCAGCTGCTCCGCTCCCGCTCTTCCCCGCTGGCACTCACCCTAGACAAACGCCGTCAGCTCACCTGCCTCCTTCACCACTGCTGGCACGCCAGGGAGACACGAGCAGAGAGCCAAACAGATAGGATTATCCGTGACGCCAAAAGGAGAGACATGTCTCTCATCCCTCTTCCAGCAGCCAGCCGTTCAGATACAGATGATTGCTCCCTTTGGCAACCTTCCGACGAAGGCCTTGCTGCTGTGGCCATACACAGCACTGCAGCGAACCCTGCCTCGTCCCTGCACCCTGGCTCCACTCCGTGGGAGTCTGGCTTTTGCCCTGTTTACTGTCCCAAGCAGGAGATGAGCACATGGCAGAAGTCCTGCAGCCAAGCTGGGGACGCTGTTCTTCATAAGGTCCATCCCGTTTGGTAACATCCACCTCTTACCTGAGGTCTGAGATGCTGCTGAGGATCCCAAGGTAGCATTTGGCTGCACAAATCAGCAGCAGAAGAGAAATGGACCCACACAACAGCCAACAAAGGCATTTTGCCTGGGGAGCAAACGAGGACTTTCCCAGGACACAGATGTTTCCCATTTCTCTTTCTCCTGTTAGCTCACTTCAGGCAGAGGGGATGGTGTTTTAGGAGCTAGCTCTTTTAAGTTTGACCCTGTTTTCCAGTCCTCAGTAGCTCTGGACAGCCCTTGGAAAGCCTCACCCTGCTATCCAGTATTTGGATAACATTATTCTCTTACAACAATCCTCCTTCAGCGTCCCAGGCAGACACCTCTTGGGGTGCCAGTGGAACTGGGCTTGTGAGCATGGCACTGGCCATTTCCTTGGTAGTAATTATGGCTCTGGTCACACCACTGATTTCAAATCCTCCTTTGACGTACATTGGAGTGGGATGTTTCTCTCTTCTCCCCATTTTCTGATTACTCAAGTTGAACTGAAGAGCCAAGCTTCAGAATTAGTCCCAGTTTCCAAATTACCTTTCAGGCTCGCTGTTCCTACCGCTGGTATTTCACGTTATTCCCATAGATACCGCACCAGGCAAACATACACAGCTCCTGCCCTGAAGAAATCGCGGCACAGACCTGAGGTGTGACAACAAGCAAGCCCTAACAGAGTGGGGATTGGAAGGAATGAGGTAATGAGCAGCTGGTTGGTCATGTCAGGCACGTGCACTGCTCAGTGGGTTTCTGCTGAGAGATTAAATACTTTTTTTTATTTAATTATTAAACTCAAAAGAATTTCTAGCAACCCTTATGGGACCGGGAAGCACAGGTTTGGTTCAGGTCTATTCCTAGCGTCTGAATTAAAATTGAAAACCCGCTGGTGGGTTATTCTGTGGCTGTAACAGAAGCCGACAGCCTATCCTGTCCCTGTGCATGGTGGAGAGCTGCGGGAAGGGAATGGCACAGACCGAGGGCTTCGTTCCTACCTGTGTGCCGCAGGGGCTGAGCTGGTGTCTGCGCATAACCGAGGCAGCCAGGCCCACGTGCTCTGGCCGGGACTCTCCATCTGCAGCCCTGCTTCTGAAGGTTACTCACAAAGGAAGAGGGAGAAGATTAAAGGGTACTGGTAATGTGCATCCCTGAGCTTCACCAAGGTTAAAAACCCAACATTAATGAAAAAAGGCAGAACCTGTGTGGTCTGTAGAAGAGGCAGGGTGGAGTTTAAGAAACCAAAATATTATCAAATCCTGTTTTGTTGTAACTGTGTTATCAACAGAACCAAAGAAAATGCTGGTGATAAAAGAAATGGTCTGAATGCAGAAATGAGGGTTTTACATAACAAAAAATAAATCAGGTTACTGCACAGGGAAAGAGCACCATTGGACTTTTGAGAGGAAAAGGATACAAGGTGAATACGCTCATGCAATGAAGGATGAGGAAAGGCTGATCTACAGGGTGGCCACATAGCTGGCAATCGTTTAAGAACCCTTTGGAAACCTCACCCCACCTGGCAGCAGCATTTTCTGGGCCAAGCAGAAGTGGCTGCATTGCCACCCCAGGATGATCTCCGTTGTGACTTATGTAGCAGAAACCCTTGTAACAGGGAAAGGGATTGTGATGCAGATCAGGGTCTCAGGGGACCAAATTTCGAAATTCAAAATTCCCCTCAAAACAATGCACGAGCCACTTCACTCTCCTTTTTAGGTCTTTTTTTAAATGGGAGCATCATTTCTCCCTCCCACATGGCTTATGCAACAGAAGGAACATCACTGACTGGTAGATGCTGCAGAAATGGAGATGGCAGTTACTGCAGGGAAGTGCTTTAAGCTGTAATGTAAAATGTAAATTTTAAGCTTCAGCTTCTAGGCTTTAATGCTCTAGGCTTTATTGCCTAGAAGCTGAAGTCCTTTAAAGCTTTACAGAAATTTTCCTCATTCACTCGTGGCTGGCCCGCCATGCAAGGCAGGTGGAGCGCTCTGCCCTTGGGGGTTACTCTGCTGCTGGATGTTGATGCACGATGCACCGACTTGAGTGCTCACAGATGTTTTTTTTCTTAGCAGATAAAGGATGAAACAACCTGAAGACTTGGGCAGATTTCATGAAGTATTTTCTAGAGCTTCCTATAGGGGAACATAGGACAATGTCTCCCTTGTTGCCTTCGCCAGGGTGATGCCTGGTACACAGAGGTTTTAATTCTCTCGACAGAAAGACGCTGCACAGTAATTAAAGCTGCACATCCCTCTTCTCTGCAGTGTGGAGTGAACAGACATTTCTTGCAGTTAGGGAATCATGAACTTCAGCAGGCACTCCCTTCTCTCCCAGCCCATTGAATACCTGCCAGAAAAGAAACCCATCATGTCTGTAACAGCATGCATCTTTTGTTTGCTGTGATGTTTTTGAGGGGGAACATTAAACTTGCCTGAACAACAAAAAGAAAAAATTAACATCTGGAGAGTCTCAGTTTTAAAATAGCAGGTAACGTGTTTGGCAAAGGACAAATCCATGACAAAGAATTCAATAAAAGTGGGAGATGGGATAACTCATGGGACCAGTACCTTAAACTTCCAACAGAGCTATGAAATGATGCTTACAAATGGTAAATTGAAGAGTATTGCTAAAAATTAATAACGACCATGTCATGCCACCATCCTCCTATTTACATATATATTAAAATGACCGTGACTTTCCCAATTGTGTTTTCTCTCTGGATACATCCTGGGACTCATAAAAATCAAGGATTACATGAAAATATTGGAGAACATTTTTTAAACTGGAAACTTGTGATTTGTGACCATTCACATTTTCTCAGGAAGTCTTCTTCCAAGAGTTGTCCTCGCAACCAGTGCTGGGCATTCACAAAAACACATGCACTGCAGCCACAGAGATGTTGAGGCGATGGCTGGTGTGCCGGCAGATGGTCTCACGCTGGGCAGTGTTTCTCACCTCCTCCCAGAAAATGGCAGTGGGCCAGAATCTGTGGTGCTCTGCAGTGTGTAATTATCAGGGGTGATGCGTATGCCCAGCGCTTGGGAACACTTTGTTTTGCTATTTGCAGGTTAATTTGTGTGGATTGTATTGTGACACAAACGCATATGCTTCCAATGACACCTATTATATTTAATAAAAGCAGAAATTGCCTTGGCATGCCAAAAAATCCAGTATTTTTTCCCCACAATGTACTCTTGCAGTTCTTAACAAACTCATGACCTATGGATACCATGCCCAGCAAATGGAAGTTTAATTCCCAGATTTCTGTTTTACAATTTCTCAGGACAGCTACCTTGGCCTTTTTAGCCATAGGTTTTCTGGGATATCCCAAGAAGAAAACAGGTCAGGCTCTTCCATCCAGAAGATGAGCAATTCCCCATTAACTACTATGCAATGGGAGTACTTTTAACAGCCACCCATTTGGCAATTACTTGCTGCTTTCACATGTCAGATAAATTGGCACAGAGCTTGTGTATTTAGGAGCCCTGAAAGTGCCAGGGAGCTTAGGACATGCAATAAATGTTGATGAAGATCTATGGACCGAGTTCACCTTGCTAGAAATTGAGAGATTAACTTGATGGATCCATTTGGCTCCAGGTGCCTACAGCCATCACCACATGCTGAAAAGTGTCAGATCTCACCAGCGCTCACCACGTTGCCCATGCGGTCATCCAACAAGAAACTGATCCGCTGTGCCCTGAGCAAACAGGCTCTGAGCTTCCAGAGGCCATCACCTCGCTCGCTGGGTGAAGGACAGCTCAAATGGAAGAAGTCACGCTCGAGACTGGCTCCTGACTTGCCAAAGGAAAAGGTGAAAGCTGCATTTTTCACTCTCCCCTTTCACTGGTAAAAGAGAAAAACAAATTAAATTGGGCTACAAAAGTATTCCTAAGCTTTGAGAATTGTAGGGAAGAGAAGGAACATGTTTTGTCATCTGAAAAATCAAATTAAGTGAAATGCAGAAACCACAAGATTTGTTTACTACAGGAAGCACTTATATTTCCAGACTTGAGAGCAGTTTCTCCTCAATCCTGATTAAAATTACTCATCAAAACATTACACAGAATTAACTTCATTTCATATGGCGAACAATTATGCAGTTTGGGTAGAGTGGAAAGGATCCAGAATGTTATTAGTGTTCAGCAGAGGCATGTGGTAAAATTTCTTCTTTTTTCCTGTCAGAGCTCTATGCCAGTACAGATTTTTACCAAGAAAAGCAAAGGTGAGTGTAGATGAATAGGAGCTGGAAAGACTCAGACTTTAAAACAGCAGTGCAGGAATGAACAGCGGCGAAACCCAGTTTTTCAAAGAAAAGTTTCACATCTTGCTCTTCTATAAACCAGTTGCAGAACAAAACAACTAGAGGAAATTGGTTGTGTGCTGCGTGACACAAATAGCTTTCAAACAGCTTTTTTTTTCCAGTAGCTATCTCAGTTGTTACAGAGCTAGGATTCAATCATGCAAAGATTCACACCCCTTCTTGACTTGAAGAATTAATAGAGGTAGGATACACAACGCCTTAGACATATGTGATGATCACATTTGGAAAAATATATATATATCTCAATTTTGATTAAGCTGATCAGTGTGTTCTCCTCTATCACCTTTTCTGTGCTTAGGGAAATTACAGGATTAGACTCCTCATGATGCCTTTTAGCATTTCTGTGTTAAAGAGAGCTTGACGAGCAGCTTACAAAAGAGAGACAGAGAAAATAGATCCACTGCAAACTCAGTCATGGCTGGGACCTAAGTTCTGGTGCAGTTTGTTTTAGTAACACAGCTTGGACTAGTGCAGTACTTAATAAGCAATGCTAATCCACAGTGGATTAACATTTCACCTAAAGTATAATGTTTATTGTCATAAATCCATCACGAAATTACAGCAATTATAAATTAAAATAATGGTCTTCAAGAAAATAAACTTACTGCAGAAGGAAAAAAAATATTTTTCCCTTCTGCTTGGGCACACGGCTGGAAAAGCCTCATGCTGACAAAGCATGTTAAAGATTTCACATAGAACTCTTATCATAGCCAGCCCATGTTTGCACAGCCTTTCAGTCAAAAGGGTTTTACTAAAGGATATTTGAACAAGAAAAGAACCCTTGAATCAGGCAGACACCATGGATGAAAGATAATTTTGACAAAGCTCATACATGCAAGCTTAAAACAAAAGCATGAAACTCCTCCAGATTTATAGCCAACTTTTTTCCTTTCACAGTGCTGGCTTTCACATACTTTGTGAAAAAATGTTGTCATAACAATAAGGCGTGAATAGGCAAATCCGTGTATTCCCAGTTGTTGTCCCAAGCAAACAAGAAAAACATTTCACACTTCACAATTAATACAATGTCCCTTTGTCCTGACACATGAAAGAGCTATTTGAAACAAATAAACGAAGGGATAACTACATTTTTATTAAAGTCTGGATTTTAGAAAAATATTCAATGTATTTTCACATTTTCTTTTTGAAATTGAAACTTTTCCACCAGTTCCAACTACATAACACCACCAGAAAAGATATCAAAGGGCAATATATTGTATGCTCCAGTCTCCCCTCATCAACAGAAAATGTATTAAGGTAATTAAAAGCCCTGCTTGTAAACCCTGGGGCCTCCTCCCCAGAGTGCTCCAGATGAGTGCTGATGCATTGACGGAAACATTTAAAGACCAGAATCTGTTGCAAGGTGTCAATCTATAAGTAGTTATTGATATGTAGCTCTGTTGACATACTAGTCCCAACAGCCACAGCTTTGGTCTCCTCCTGATGGGCATTCCTGCTGTACCTACCACCCCAACATCACTCTGAGAGCCACCTAGAAAGGTGACTTAGGACTCCACAAGAAGGCATGGCCATGAGAAGCCAGACAAGGCCAAGAAGCAGATCACTTTGAGTGAGTTGGGGCTGCTGCTGATGGTGGTGGTGGTGGCCAGTGCCATGGAAAGACTGCTCCTTTGTCCTTGAGGCCTGCTGGATAGCAAGTGGATGGAGCTGAAGATCCCAGAGCTCACCAGGAGACACAGGACTTGACTGGTGTCATGCGTCCTATGGTTTTGTTATTTCTGTGGACATTTATATACAAGTTGTAGTATTCAGTTAATCAATATACACTGTTCCTTTTTAAATACTTTCACCATAGATAAGCCAAACATTGGAAGGTAGATTAAAAGAAAAAGATTCTGCATTTTTCTCCTACCTCTCCCCTTCTTTTGTCTTAGCAAAGGTTATAGTTTTCTATACCCAGGCATAACGTAGCTTAACTGAGTCACAGCCAGTATAGCCAGTTCTTCATTATCACAGACTGTGTACTCTTCTCTGAACTGTGTGTCTTTGCTGATTTTTGCCATTTTAAGTATACAGACTTTCCTCCTAGGCTCACACAGACTTCTACAATAAGGATGGTCTCTGAGTACTGACAAAAAGAGGTCACTCAATTTACTCCTTGTTCTCACTGCGTGCCTCTCTGCCTTACTTTTACTCTTTGCTGTCATGCATTATGCTCTGCAAGCTAGCCAAAATTTGCGCTTACAAAACTACACAAGCAGGCAAAATCATTATTGGTAAAAGTTTGGCCTGCCTGTATCAGTTCCAAATTTTTCGCCCATTGTTGCTTGCTCGATGCAACCACTTTCTTCCTGGTTTATCACTGCTTCTCTCCTGGTTAATGTCACGCTGAGCCCACCAGGAGCCCAGCCTTCCCCCATGCCCAGGCTCCCCAGGAGCAGCACGTAGCTCCGGGACACGCTCCATGCACACTTCTCCTCCAGAAGCCAGCAGGAGCTGCAGGGTTGCTAGAGCTTTGGGGGCTGTAAGACTTTGTTGTGATTCACCAGACATTTACCCTCCCGATTCCCAACACCATTCCACTTTTGCATGGCGTTCAGCTTCCCAGAGCTGGCTTAGGAGGCTGACATTTGCACAGGGAAAAGCATAAACTTGGGGTCTTGAGCCTAGAGCCCATGGTCTGAGCCAAAGGCCTTTGCGGGAGGGCTTCATTTCTGTAAATTGAGTGGGTGCTTGTGAAAGTGTAGGTGTGTCGAGCAGCTCGAGTTAAGAGCTAGAGTCGCTGTAGCTGTTACAATTTGACACTTTCAGCCCTGAATGTTTTATGTCTGATGGCTTTGCCACTTCTCCCCACCGAGAGAGAAAGAGCAGGGCATTCCCAGTTCCCTCCTCCTGCTCCTCACTGCTCAACCTGTGGGCTAACAGGGCTTCCTCCACCATGACCACCACAGCCCCTTGTCCACTCTGAGGCGAGAGGTGAGGACGGGGCAGCAGCCGCCGTACCTCGACGTGTTAATTAAGCAAAATGTGGCGATGGCAGCACAGGCCTCAGGCCTTGCCGCGCAGCAGCCCGGGCCTCTCCGGCAGCGGGGCGAGCGCGCTCAATGAAGACGCTGGGAGTTCTTAAGACATCTTTTGAAAGGGATTAAACAGACCCCACATTGGATTAGAAAGATGATGCCTGACACATTTAGTTTCCGTTACCTTTTGTGTACCCGCTCAGTGCACAGACCTGTACCAAACAGTGCATTGTAATGCAGATTTCCTTGAACCGCTCTGGGATTTCACAGCATCCATAAGACCCTCACAGCAGGAAACCCTATTATTAAGCTATCTGCACATATCATGCGGTAAGCTATGCCTAAGGGCCATCTAGAGGATGCTGAGTTACAAGAAAGCGGAGGGGTCAGGGGTTTGTTGTGAGAAAAAGAAGAACTTTAATCTCAGGGTGCCGGTAGCGGGGTGTGGGGAAGTGCTTCTGCATTCCTCAGTTTTCCCCATCCCTCCACCTACCGAAGTGTATTGTGGAGTAAATTAGAGAAATTCCCACACTGCGATGTCTGATCAGAAAAAAATGGTTTGTTCCCAGAGGAATCACTTCAACTATAAATGACAAAGAATTGATAAGGCTGAGCAGAGCAACCCAATAAAACACTACAACTAAGTACGATTTGGTGAAGATATTTTAATACAGTTCTTTTCTCCAGTGGAGGAAAAAGAAGGCTCATGTGAAGTTTCCAAGAGAAATGTGTGTTTAATAGCTCTCTTGCACTCTCTTGTAGGAAACCGCTCAAAAATCTGAACCCCCTTTTTAAGAGAGGGGCACAGGAAAGAAAGAATCACGCAAATCATTTATCTCATGCATGCTAAGGAGAAGGAACAATTTCTGCCCTCAACTCATGACCACAGAGTTATTTTGAGGGAGGTCTGCTATTTAAGCCATGCCGTTTTTCTTATTTTTACTGGCACTGAAGAGGCAAAAGGTTGTGTGCGGAAGGGAAAGGTTTTGCTGCCTCTGTGAGAAATGCCAGCACACAGCTCCACTGGGGAGAGCCGCGACGACCTGCCACGCAGGCTGCCTCCCTGAACCCAGCCAGCAAGCTGACCAAGCTCGGTCTTCTGCGATAAATAAATCAGTAAATGTGACCATTTCAAATCCCTGAAATCCAAGTCTGCCCACCAGCCCTTTCAAATGTTCTTCCCCAAGCCCCCAGTTCAGAGGAAGCACAGACCTCGTGGCAGATGCTCAAGTGCTTTGCTGCTGCACGTGCCAATGCAAACAAGCCAAGGGGAACTTTCAAAGCCCTCCCTAAAAGTTTCACTTAATACAAACAGGTCCTTCTACACACCTAAAATGTCAAAAAAAAAAAAAAAAAGACTCTATCCTATTCTTTCTTGCCCTCAATTCAATTTCAAAATCCAAGACAAGCTGGCAGGCAGCAATGTTAGTTTAGCTGTCATACTCTTAAAAAAATAAGGAGAAAAAATTAAAAACAAAATCAGAAGGGCTCATTTTCTCCACTCAAGCTGCAAAGAGACTTTGCCATAGACAAAGCTTTAA